AGTTTTCAATGAAATCAAAAGACTCTACTGGGCTGTTATGGACACAAACAGTATTAGCTGAAAATCCTAAAATATAAAGTACTTAAAAATATAGTCATAATTTAGAACTTTATAAACACCCTACTTTAGTGTAATAAATGTGAAGATATTCAAAATAGAAGTGAAATTGGATTTGGTAGGTTTTTATTCAACTAGAGTCCTGAAGAGATTATTTTCAGAGCTGAATTTCCTAATAGAATACTACAAATTCACACAAATGTCACTACAGATATAATGAATGTTTTTTCATGCCAATGTCACTCACCCTTGCCTGCCTGCACCCCCTCCCCTGACTTTTCAAAATGTATTTCATACACAGAGTCAGTGTTCTGGTTGTTTATTTAATTAACATGACAGCCCAGCATACACAGCATTTCTTTCAGTTCTACAGTTTTAACTTTTTACACTTCAGACTCAATACAGAAAGAGTAAAATGACTGTTTTCACTCCTTCCAACCTCTGTAAATTTATATAGATTCACTGACTATTTCTGTCAGTTAAAAAAGTTTTTCAGTATGCCTTAAATATCTGTATTCACAAATAAAATCATGATTTAAAAAAAAATTACAGAAAAACAAAACATTCTTTTCCCTCACCTTTCCTGGGAGATAAGAAAAATCTTGTTTTTCCTTTTTGATATTTTAAGAATTTAACATTAATTTTAATTCTGTCACCACGTCATAAATAATCAACATTGCTCTTTATAACCCCATAAGATGAATACTGCTATGGAAATGACAGAAGCTACAATTTAAAGTCCATGATTATTTCTGAAATTTATTAAATTTGAGATATACAATATATTGCAGTGTATTTAGGAATTTGAAATATAATGTATTCTAGATGTTCAGAAAAAAAAATTCTGTAGTTTGTATCTATAAAAGTGAGTTGTACCTTTTACCAATGATATAAAGCCCACCATATCCCTATCATCCAATGTCTGCCATCAAAAACCATACTCTTTCTCCTATTTTTGTTTTGTTTGCTTTTTTACTTGAAAATGTCTTCCCCACAACAGGGATCAAAAATTTGATTCTTTTGATAACAAAACCAACTTATATTTCTACAATAATACATTAATTATGCTGAAGATGTTTAATTAACAGCTTAGATAAACAGTCACAGGAAACAATCTGGGTTTTTAATTACATAATATAAAGCATGTATCTGTACATTTCTGACTGAAGTTTTGCCCATCACAAAGAGTTTATCATTAAGTGATTTAAATGCATTCATGGACAGAGTCACATGCCTTGTATTTATGTGAAACCACAGGTAAAAATATGAAATTTTTCTTAATGTAACTAAAATTGCATTTGGTTTGGAATCTTTCAAAAGTGAATGAGAAAAGTGGTCACAGTAATTACAGAGGAACAACATATATATTGTATGATACAAAGAGAACAGACCTCCCTCAAATACAGTTTCCAAATGTTAACTAAAATTTTACATTGAAAATAATATTTATTAATCATGCATGAATCATATTTATTAATTATTAGTACCTAATTACTCAACAAATTAATCATAAATCATAAAATAAACATTAATCATATTTATTAATTATTAGTACCTGATAACTCAACAAATTCTAGGTACCTCTGTATGTTCCAGTGTTTACAGGGTTACAGTGGCATCCTGATCTCAGGTATATCTTACCTGCTCTCAAATGTAAAAATCCACTTAGAATATATACACCACAGGGGGTGGATGCTGGACTTAACACTGCCAGTCTAGAAAGTACAGTTAGACACAATCATCTACAGAATCAGCTTCAGTCTGGAGGATACTGGGCTGGTAAGACTTAACTATAAGCCACAGAGACGCTATAAACTTACTTATTTATTGAAAGTGAAGAAACGTTCACTTGCATCCTCTCATATCAACCAATTCCTGATTAATTTTGTGACCAAGAACTGGACCTATTTTCTTTCTCGCTTGAGAACATCTTTTTATCACCTTGCTGCAAAACTTAATTCTACATGTAACATCTAAACTATAGACTTAGTCATTCTATAGACTTAAAGTTCTGGAAGGAAGGGAATAAGGTGGGGTGGGGTATACTTGTTAGTTGTTTGGTCTTATGAGAATTTTATCAGATATTCTCCTGTCTTTTAAGGCTTGAAAAACACTGAAGAGAGCATTCATAAGCAAACATCCACCGTCATCCATGTCATCCATCGTAAGAAAAAAATGCTGAAATTCTCTCACCTTTAAACTTCACAATGAGCAATCTCTGAATAAATTCTCAGGAGGCCTCTGTGCTTACACTATTTAAAATTCACTTGTTACCATACTGAATCTCACCATCAGTGTATATCCACAACACTGTGATTCTAATTAGAATAAGATATATTCCATGCTTGTATAAATATATCAAAATGTATTCTACTATCATGTATAACTACAAAGAATAAAGTTTTTTTAAAAATCACTTGTTGCTTATGAGTATTGTCTTGACTTGAAAGTAGATGTTCTTTCAAAAAAGAACTATTTCGTAGCATTCAGGAAAGTGTTTTATATTCGTTTTATAATTATTTTGAATGCTAACTTCATAAAGTATGCAAATGACAGTGGTACACTTTGCACCCTTCATCAGAAGTTTGTTTCCTTATGATAAAACAGATAAGCCATTTACTATATAGCTCCTGAACTTTTCACACAGTTAACTATGAGATATCACCCTCATAATATACCATCCCATGTTAGTTCCCACCCACTCCCCACAATTATACTCAGCAACAACTTTAATGGGTCATATATAAAACTAGTCTTCAGTGACTGGTACACTCACCCATGCCCTCATTAAAACTTCAAGGATCTAAATTTCTGCTAAAAGTAATCTTATTTTACCCTCAGCCATGTGAAATAGTCTCTCATTTTAGAACACTGTTAATAAACAGCCTTTAAAAAACCAGTAACCCAAGAAATTCATCAAAATACATAACAAATATGCATTTTTCAAAAGCATTAATCAGCAAAACATTTAAATGTGCATGCTCTGTTATTTTATATAAATTTACAGATTATTCCAATTCTCATCTGCTAATTTAAACCAGAGAAAAACCAATGAAAATCTATGAGTTAATTAACATGACTAGGCCATTCACCTGAACCTTATCTTAAATCCATTCTTAACTCCCTCAGATGTTAATGAGAAACTTAAGAAATTTAATTTTAGAGACTAAATGATATCAATTTAGGGTCAGGTTTTTTATGCATAAGTCCAGATTTTTTTCTTAGAAATTACGGTTCAATTTTACAAGAACCACAATCAAATTTCCCTATAAGTTAAAGAAGAGCATGTTCTAAACACATTTAAACCAGCGATGTCTTCATTTAAGAGACATTTTCTCCTGTACCTGTGAAAACAAATTAAATTGTGTTTTTACTCTAATTAGTTTACCCATAAATAGGTATGTTATTTTATTCCAAAGTTCTCCAAATTTCTACCCAAACTAAGTATCAGTCAGTGGCCTATTTTTTCCCTTTACTCTTAGAGTAAGCTTAAGTCCAAGAAATATTTTCTTTATCTAAACAAAAAGCTAAATAAGTACATTTGTTTTAAAATAAACACAAGAGATTATGATGCTGTCCTTCACTTTCCTAAATAATGTCAACCAACCACTGATCTCTGTAATCAACTCCCTTTCAGAAACAAACTAGTTACCCACAGCATATGGTGACTTCTACTTCTTAGAAATATTTAAATGATTACCCACAGAATAACCTAAAAAGAAAAAGCTTGCTGTATGTTAGGATATTCTTGAACTCCCTAAAGTTGTCCTAATGGTGTCATACAGGTAGGCATAAATTTAAGTAGGAAAAGCATAAATTTCCATCTGCTGTACATTACCAGCTTTCCACCCTCTTCATCAAGTGTCAAATCTCCTTCAAGTACAGAATTGAACAAGTATGGCTTTTCAGGTATAATTTGTATTTTAAATTGGAATTTGTTCTATGACACCATTTATAGCAATGATTCTATGGGCTTAAAAAATTTAATGATAGTAAGAAAATTCATTCCCCAAACTGACTAAACTTTTATTCACACCTTCATTTATAATTCTAGATTCTTCCACCTCCTCCTTTATGAACGATATATAAAGATCACCAGCAATCTTAGAAACATCCTCCTGAATAAATATTTTCTGTAAAACAGGCATAGGTGCATTTAAATTTCTAACTATCCACTTAATTATGCAAATACCCAAGAAAAATGTTATTTTTACTTAACAATAACAGCACAATTTACAATTTCGAATCATTCTGAAGTTCAGGCATTATTCCCCAAATTTGAAGTTTATGTTTAGAATACAAAACACACTGGCATAATATAATGCACGTCAATAAGTTACATTTAAAAACCAATTGAGCACCATCAGATGCAGTCTCTCCAAATAAAACTTCCTGCAAAAGCAAAGTGTGTATCAATACCTCACCTTCAAGGATGCCTCGTTTTGCCGTAGAATCTTTTTTCTTACTGGTTTTGTAAATGTTTGCCTGTCACTTTATAAGAAATTTGTTTAAAAAAAAAAGAAAAGAAAGAGAGAGAGAAATCTAAGAAAACCTATGTGTTGAAAATCGCCCACTACTTAAAAAAAAAAAAAAACTAATTATAAAATTTCTGCTAAGGGAAGGAGGACAGAGTAAAGTTGTAGGGAAGCCTAACACCAGGTGTAGTATATTTGCAAAGTTGGCCCAGCTGTGAAAGACGGTGCAAACGCCCTTTAGTTTTGTTACTTCTTCGTGTTTCTGTTGTTCAGATTATAAAATACTCAGAGAAAAGAGAAAGAAAAACAAAACCCCAATATGCTTGTTTCTTACTAAGTCTAAAGTTATAGCACTTTCCTAGGCTAGCTTCCTTTTAATTGCCAACGCCCGGATTCCCTTCAGTTTGCGCCGCTTCCCAAGAGTTTGAAGTTTCCCCGAGAGCAGAGAAAGGAGCTTCCAGTGCTTACCTGATCCCTTGGTATACAGGGCAGAGAGGTCCTTCGATGAGACTTGCTGCTGCAGCCTGACATCTCGGCGGACACCACGGAGCTGGACCGCCTCCTCCTCTTAAACACCGGGATATCTTCCTTGGTCCCAGCAATTAGCTGGGACCCAAAATGCTCCTTCGGAGCCGCCCCCGAGGACTGCGGTAAGATCTGCTCCACGTACCTGGCCAGAAGGATCCCCAGTATGCCGGCCAAATATGCCAGGTAAGGTCTCCAGGCGACCTTGAACCTCTCCAAGGAAATGAGGGACACGGTCCTGACCGCGCTAGTCAAAGCGATCATGAGGACACCCAGTCTCAGCCTCAGCACCAGCCATGTCGCGGCGGCCAAGCAGCTGAGCACCACCCCCGCGGCCGGGAGCGAGAGTAAGTGATCCTCCCCGACGCCCAGCCCAATCTGGACGAGCGCTTCCCCCCCGCAGCAGGCGGCCAGCAGCGCGACGGCCAGAGGCAAGCGCACCCCGGCGCGCAGGAGGTACAAGCCCATCCAGAAGAAGGCACATAGGAGACTGAAGAGTAGTGCCGAGGGCTGCAGCCAAGGGCTGAGCGGCGCGCCGCCCCCGGCAACACCTCCCCGAGGGCCAGGGAAGACGCCCCCTTCAGCTCCCGGGACAGCTTCCTCCTCCTCCTCGGTTGCTGCCGCCTCCTTACTCTCCTCCAGCTCACCGCCGATCTCCCCGCGGACCAGCTTCACCATCAGAGCCAGCAGAAAGGAAAGAGATCCCGCGCACAGAGCCGAGGAAAGTTTCCGGGAGCGCCGGAGCGGCTGCAGCACCAGGTCTCCCCAGCAGCCGCCGCAGCCCGAGCCCTGAGGCAATGGGGGATCCGCACGACGGTGGCAGTCCGGGCCAGCTACCGGGGCTTGACTCTCCCAGCCGTGGGCCGGCTCGTCCCTCTTTCGGGCGGCCTCGCTGGCAACTGCCATGGTGTGCCTTCTTCACCGAATCCCCACCGACGCCCCCACCCCTCAACACAGGAGCGTGCACACGCCCTTCCCAGTCCCACCCTCGGAATCCCTTCTTCTCCCCAGGCCCACAATCCACTGAAAGTTTCAGCTTTCGAATAACTCCAGGAGAACGCTAGATGCTCCAAAGGGACTTCTTCAAGTTAATCAGGCTTTGACTTTTCGCTCTTTGAATAGGTTTTGAAAATCCTCTGCTCCACCCCCAACCCCGACTTATATACTCAAAGGGATCTTGCTACTTCGGGATTTTAAAAATTGCCCAATGCATCCCGCGCACCCGGGCGGCTGACGCTGGAGGAGCCGGGGGCGCAGGGCGAGCACGGGGCCATTCCCGGCACAGCTCCGCGCTGCGCTGCTGCGCGCCGGGCCAGCGGCTGATGGAGGTCTCTCTCCTCTTTCCGCAGCTCTTTCTCTATCACTCTTTCTTTCTCCTGGGCCGATCCTCCCCGGCTCGGCCCCGGGACGCGAATCGCCATTCCCTGGGACTGAAAGCAAAGCCTCCTCCGCGTCTGTCGGTCCAGTTCATGGCAAAGAGTGGAAAAAAATGGGAAAAGGGCTGAGAAATAATCAAGAAGTTGCTTAGTCCCGTCGGAGAGAGACAAACCGAGACTCTGGCGGCTGCGGCAGGAGAAAGGAGGGAGGGAGAGCGATCGAGCTGGAAAGGAAGGGAGGGTGAAAGGAAAGGGAGGGTGAGAAGAGAGAATGAGATTTGCTTTTTCCCCCCTTTCTTTTTGGTACAAGGTTGGTGATGATTTGCAGTTTTGCAGAAGGGAAACGAGTGGATATGACTGCTTAAAACTGTATTTAAACGGGCAACTGGAGTGATCGACAATTCCGCTTTCTTTCTTTAAGGCAACTCCCTAGGAAAGCTTTCTCAGCCGAGCTCCCGCCCCTCCCCCGGAGGAGGCGCTGCTCTCAGCTTGATTGCTCCTTTTCCCGGAGCTGGGCCCTTACTACTTACAAGCTAGTGAAGGGGCTGCTGTGGCTGCTCTGGCCGGTCCAACGCGCAGCTCCTGGCAGCCAGCGAATGAGGGGGTCTGGGTCTGGCACTGAGACTAAGCTTTCTAGGACACTGAGGGGGTGCGGAATGAGGATTGTGCTTGGCTACTTGACAAGCAATGGGAGCCAACATACTTGCTACTGTCATTGAAAATGACACCTACAGCTACTGTCTTGATTTAAAGATGCTAGTAAGTTCTCAAGTACAACAGCAAGTCAGTTTCAGGTGACATTGTAATGCTTTGGCTGCTCCTGCTGAGAGATCTATTTTCAACAGAGAAGTCAAGCCTGTCCTTTTGATTCAAATGATGGAAGAATCACACACACACACACACACACACAAAGAAAAAAAAAAATAAATCAAGAAGCTTACAGAGTTCAGAAGCCCAGATAGTGAAATATAACATCTATAACATCTACAATGAAGATTAAACTTCTGAGAAAAAAATAATCAGGACCTTAGTTATTAAGGATTAAGGATGTTCATTTACTATGGTATATAGTATTTGAGAAACTAAAGAAGTTTTAAATAATTCAACATCTGTTCAATGAAATAAAAAAATAAAAAAACTCCAGTGTTCCTTGGGAACTGATTTCTTCTTAAAAGTGTCCACAATTGTTCAATTTTAATATGGCTATCTCGATGTCATTTGCTCTCAATAATATTAATAATAAAATAATTTTGTCTTAATTATCTTGGCATTCCAGGTTAAAGTGTGTTTGTAGCCTGGAGTATTTGGATAATTGGTTCAAAATGCCACTGTATTTTATGTGTAGAGATGAAGACTTGAAAAATGCCAAAAGGAGGAACTTGAAATAAAATTAATTCATGGAGGCAGGGGAAGAAGATGGCATAGTTTTAGACTTAGCTTCATGGAAAACTGCATGTTGTAGTGAGAGGCAGGTATTTCATATTAATATTATGACATAAATGGATAGATAGGGGTTGTGATAATACAGCTTCTCTGTGTCATGTGTCCAGAACTGTGCTACCACACAGGAGTACAAGTTGGGCAGCTAGTCAGTGGCAGTGGCACCATCTGTCTAATAATTAAGGAAACAGGAATAGCAATGTCTTTGCCAAAGACAAATGAGCCCCCTAGCATGCACACATACTTTCATGAGTTTCCTTTTTAGACATATGATTCATATGCCAGATCCTACCTGGGACACTTCAGAGTGCAAAACCTTGATTGGAAAATCATGCTAATATCTCTTGGCATCAAAAACAGCACATTGAATTGAAAAAAAAAAAAAAAACTGTAGAACTCTGGGCATACATCAAGGTTAGAAAATCACAGTGAGGGGGATTTTAGAACATTTCCATTTTCTCTGTCCTCTAACTCCACAGTTATCTCCCTTCTTCAGAAAAGATAACATCATCACAAAATCTGAACTATGGAAAGTAGATTTTTTAAAAAACTTTTTAAAAGTTGTAATAGAAAAGAAACAAAAAAATCCATTATCTAATAGCAGCAAAGCAAGAATACTAGGTCTGTATGTTAATGACACATTGGAGCTGCTCAATAGTATGACAGAAGCAATGTCCTGACCACTGGTTCCCCTTCCATTTTTCAAAACAAATCAAAGTTATTTCTTTCACCAGAAGCATAGAAGGTAGATTTTTCTCCCTGTTACCATCCAGAAACCAAAGGGAAGTGAACAGAAACAAAGACACAGAAAGCTACAGCCTGTGCTAACTGAACAAAGTGACTTACAATGAACATTTAGCAGAGCATCTTAATGAAATAAGCCATGTTGCCTACAGTATACATTCAGCAATCACGCTTGAATACTTTAAGACAGTGACATAACAGAAAAAGAATAAGGAAAATATACAGGTGGAAAAAGAAAGGGCATAAACAATAGAAAGAAAAATTCAACTTTGACTTGATGAGCTCTTCACTTAGCCAAATCTGATTAATGTGGTTTTATTAGTAATTTGTGAAGGAGATACAAACTACAACAAAACTAACTACAAATCCTTTGCACTTTGCCAAATATAATTACTCTTAAGGTAAAACTGTTGTAAAATTTTAAAAAGTTTAATGTATGAATTACCAAGATCATTGTAATGTCATGTGTAGCTAATAAAAAAAAAAAAAGTTTACTCCCCCACCCCACCTTGGGCTGGGGTGGTGGCTCAGTGATAGAGTGCTTGCCTAGCATGTGTGAGGCACTGAGTTCAATCCTCAGCACTGCATATGAATAAATAAAATAAAGGTCCATTGACAACTACAAAAAGATTTTTTTTAAAAAGTTTACTCTCCTTAACATGGATTCACTCATTCTCCACTACCCACCTGACCTCTACACTTTTTTTTTTTTCTGAAAGATACCTAAAAAAGAATGTATCTAAAAATTCTTCCACTTCTAAGTCCTTCCTTCTAATCTCTTCCACCTACACACCAAAACTCTTTCTCCTCAGTGTTGTCTCATCCTGGTAAGGAACATAACCACCTACCTCAAGCCCCAAGTAGGACATTGCCCTTGATTCATTCCTGATTATCTTGGTTAATTCTTTCATGCTATTAAAATACACTGGATTCTATCTCTACACTATATCCCAATTCCATTTACTTTTCGCCACCACTCTCATAATGACCAATCCAGAAACCCATCGTCATCTCTAATCATGACAATCACAATAACAAATTGGTCCTGCCCTGCTTGTAATTGATTTTCTTATGCAGCAGAATGATAGTCAGAAAATGCAAGTTGAATGATGTCTCTCCCCTACTTAACAGCATCCAAAGTCTTTCTAGTGCACTTGGATGATCCAAGTCCTCCTGACAACCCACAAGGACCTTCATGATCTTTCCAGAGTCACTTTCTCTGTCCTCTCTTTTTAATTCCAATTTTTCTACTACATTATAACTTCCTTCAGTGACAGAAATGGATTCTGTGTTATCCAATATAGTACACATTAACCACAAATGGCACTTGAACCATTGCTAATGTCACTGGGAAATGAGTTTTTGTAATATTATTATTCATTTATTCCAGGGATGGGAGTTGGGGTGCTTAACCATTGAACCACATCCCCAGCCCTTTTTATTTTTTATTTTGAGATAGGGTCTTGTTAAGTTGCTTAGGCCTCTCTAAGTTTCTGAGACTGTCCTCTAACTTGTGATCCTTTGGAGTCACTAGGATTACAGGAGTATGCCACCACACCCAATTTTGTGTTTTATTTAAATTAACTTAAATTTTAATAGCCTCACTTGGCTTGTGACTACAGTAATGAAGAATGCATCTCATGTATCTCAAGCCGTATTTGTGTTCTTTACCAAATTAGAAATCTTTTGGGGGACCTCAACTAGTACTTACATTTTTTTTCACCTAGCTCCTTCTCCATCAGTTCCAACTACAAATGTTACTTTTTTTTTTAGAAAGGCCAATTCCCAGAATGTTTTTTGTTTGTTTGTCTGTTTGTTTTTCAATTAAACAATTATTTCATTGCTTGAGTACATACACAAATTTAGAGACTCGATTTTCATGCAAAGAAAGACCCACTTGGTTTTACAATTTCAAGCCAATCAGTGAATTTGGCTCTCCATCAGAATCAGGTGGAATTTAGCATCCTTTTCCTTTCTATTCCTCTCAAGATGCTTTCAAACAGCAACCACTTGCTTAATTAAATGGTAGAGATCCTGGGGAAGATTAGGAGTAAGTCTTTTGGATTTAAGATTCTGAAGATTTTATTGCCAGTCACAAAACATACTTGTGCAATGCCATGTGAGACCCTCAGTATCACACCAATTTGTGAAGAAGTCAGACCCTTTTTGGCCAGTTTGTAAATCTGCTCCTTCACATGGTCAGACATTGACTTGCCCAAGCAGGGTCACTGGGGCTATAGGGCAGAGCCAACTGGGACAGACCCTTCCCGGGAACATGTACGTAGCCCAGGTTGGAAGTGCTCAGGCAGCAAATAGAGCCTCTAAAATCTTATTAAAAAGTTGTGGGAGCCAGGCCCAATGTTGCACTCTTGTAAATCCCAGCGGCTTAGGAGGCTGTGGCAGGAGGATCATGAGTTCAAAGCCAGCCTCAGCAAAAGTGAAGTGCTAAGCAACTCAGTGAGACCCTGTCTCTAAATAAAATACAAAATAGGGATGGAGATGTGTCTTAGTGATCTAGTACCCCTGT